TAACCAAGCCAATACACTGTTTTGAAACAGGTTTTCGAAAAGCCGTCTGAACACCATCTCTACACTGCTGGCGATGTCAACACACCTTTGCTGCTCTCCTAGGACCTCTCGCCTGGTGACACCCCACAGCACACTCTCAGCAAGGCTATGGTGGTGGGCACACCAAGAATGCATACAGGATACGAGGTTGCACTTACTGCAAAAATCCACGTAAAAGTTGCATTGAATAGATCTGATCATTATCCTCGGTGGTTGGGATCTAACTGCATAAATGCATTGCTGGCCTTTGGCAACACCTCATCAGGGCTTTCCCTTCTTGAAAGGAGATCTTCTGCCCCGACAATAGTCTACTTTGCTGCACAGCTCTTGAACTTGCACAGCACAAGTTGTGCGATCGATGTGATCTCGAGATCGCGGCGATAAAACATGGCGCTTGGGAAAGACAATGACAACTTTGATGGCGACGCGCACCTGTGTTCTGTCGCTGTCGTTGTTCTGCCTATAGCCCTCGAAGGAGGACATGGTCTACGCGTGCTGCAATCACCAAGAATTGGTGGTAAGCTAGCGCAAGATGCGACTGAAATGAGTCAAATGCCTCAAATGGCTGCAACTTACGGACTTTACGGATTTCCAAGCCCAAAGGGGAAATGTGTTGCAGGTATTACATACGGTGGGTGTCAACCAGTAAATGCGCCACCAGGCCCAGGATCACCTATGTGAACACAGTCCTGGCTAGCATGGGCACCTTTCTTGACTGATATTGATCTGAGTGACACTGCAACCTATTAAATACACTGCCATGTGCCCTGCACCGGCCAGTGGCAGCCATGCACGAGAAAGGCCGCTTGCACCGCTGACGTGCATCCAGGTAAACATCGACGACGAGACAACAAGCAAGCAGGTACACAATGCACTTGCGCTGTTGCGGACAACAGATCTACATTCACTTGACACTCATGCTGCTTGCGATATTTTGAGCCTCAGGATTCCCAAATAGAAAATCAAGAAGGAAACAGCTGTCCTCCAGGCTTTATTGCAACATCCGTCCGTGCCCATGCAAGGCCCAATCAGGCTATGTGCGCTCGGCTACATCAATGCGCTCAGCTGGTGCTAGCTCGGCTGCGCGGCTGGCTCACACCCCCCGCCCTTACCCCTGTCGGGCTGCCCACATCATCCTCCTCCCCCAAGGAAAACTTCCTGTCAATGGAGTCCGCATGCGCAGCGCCAGACCCGCTGCCGCGTGCGCCGGCCGCCGCCGACCCGTACCCCCCACGGCCACCCAGTGGCTCGCCATCATCATTGCTCATCACCCCCAGCTCCGTTGTCAGGCCGCTGTCTGTGGGGTTGCCCTCCCCAAACTCATCCAGCAGCAGGTATGGGTTGTCCGGCCTCAGCCTGCACCACCAAAAGGATTGTTTGTCAGGCATTGCATTTATATTTGCCCCTGGCTGGCACTACAATGTCGTGCCATCAGAAAATTTTCAAGTCCGCATTCTCTGCATTGATTAATCCTTGTCATGCCCATGCTACAATAGTGCACGTAGGCAAGGGGTGTGGCTCAGTTCACGCATAGCTTTGGTTCTCAATCATGCAACAAGGGCGCACAAGGCGGCCCTGCTTGAATCAGAGCCCTTGCGCAGATCAGCATTCCTCATCGCCACACAGATTCAATTGAGAAATACCACACCTGCACGCATGCTAAAAGAACGATTCCCTTCTGAAGGATTCTTCCCTTCAGAAAATTAACGCCAAAGCATCAGACTCAGAACACCCCAGACAAGGAGCAGACTGCGCGCTGCGCACAGAACTGAACTGAACATAATGAGGACAAGCACACCTGAAGATGTAGGCGAGGGCGGCCAGGAAGGCCCACAGGACGACATTCTCCAGTATCAAGACAATGCGGATGGCCAGGTCCTCCTGCCCTGGCTGGTTGACAAAGAACAGGGGCAGCAGTATGGCGGCGATGCGCGCCACGATGTAGCCGCCCACACCAAACATGAATTGGCTCATCAGCCGCAGCTTGCTGCGGTGGTCCAAACTCTCCTCCACCGTCTTCACCGCATCCGTGTCATTGTCTGCACACGCACAATTGTCATAGACTGGTACTCAAGCAGGCAGCACCTGCAAAGAGTGCAAACTCTCACACAATCTTGTCAGGTGCACAGCACAAGTGCCAGAAGGAGCAGGATGCACATACATGCTTGTAACTTGATTGCAAGCAGCAGTCTCACCGGTGACTTCAGCGTAGTGGTCTGAGAGGACGGTGTTGCCATCCAGCAGCACCTCGGCTGGCAGGTCCACATTGTGCCCCACGCCCTCATCATCGGTGCGGCCATTGCCGTTGCTCGCCCCTGCAGCACGCCGCGCAGCATTCCTGTTGCTCACGCGACATTGCATGTATTATGCCAGTGGTCCCCACTCTGCGTAGCTATTGCTCACCTCCTGATATGCTGAGGGCCCCGACACAAGGATGCCCCTTGAGGATGATCAGTGATGACAGTTATCAAATATGTGTTTAGGTATGGCAGCCTTGACCGCAGGCGCGTTGGGGAAACCTCCTCTGCCAAATAAAAGGTCCAGGGAGCCCCTCTCCTCAAAATTGCAGGGCTTCTTTGAAGAAGGTCGTTTGATTGATAGACTTGGCGCGCACCGGCAGCGCGGCCAGTGCCGTTGGCCGGCAGAGTTTGGCCGGGGGCGACTGGGTTCTCCACATCGCGCGGCACGGCGCCGACAATACCCTCCTGCGGGCTCTCCAGCTTCTCCCGCTCCTTCAGCACGGTGTCGAAGATGTACACCCACGCCAGAATCAGCGCCAGGATGCTCGCAATCTGCCACACATTCAAAGACCTCAGAAACGGCCTGACAGGCTTTCGTCCTGGAACTGCGGCATGTCGTGGCCATTCAGCGAAAACGATAGAATTGAAGCTCGCATGCCCATCCTATTGAGTGGGCATGCATTCTTGATGCTTCCTTTCCATCCAGTGGCGGCCCTCATAATTGTTGCTCGTTCATATGGCGAGGTCGACATTGCAAATCGCAAAGCGCAGGGGATATGTGGCTGCTAAGATTGAAAATGCACCTCACAGATGTTCAGCACGATCCACTCCCAGCCAGAGAAGCCGTCCCTGATGTCAATGTCTGTGTCTTCTGACAGCTCGGCGCCTGGCGCTGTGCTCTTGACTGCATTGATGATGTAGTCCACCACCTACAGCACCGCAGACACTACTGACTATGATCTAGCTCTGTCAGTCAGTAAAGCAAGCATACAGGAGCCATAATTTAGCAATCAAGGGCTTTCCAACAACGCACCAGCGTTGTGAACAGGTAGACAGTGGGAATGTAGAGGACTTTCTGCTTGTAGGGCCCCAAGTTGTCCCGTGTTATGCTGCGTCACAGGAACAGTATGTCAGCCTTCCAGTCCCGGGGCCAAACAGAGCAGTCAATTAGCAGGATCTGTCAAAATTAAATTCGCAACAAAAGGTGCACCGTCAGATACTCACCAGTATCCAGCCGCAATCAGAAGCAGCAAAGCCTGCAGAGGCGCAGAAAACACTTATCAGCCTTTGCAGGATGCCTGTACCTTGCACATCAAATAAAGGAAGTAGGGAGCATGCAGAGGACGCGACACACTGGAAACTTACAATGAAGGAGCTGTCAGCAAAATCCGTGAAGAAGATGTACGCCAGGTAGATGCGCTGGGTGTGGGGGTCGTCTGCACTTTTCTGAGCGGCATAGGCCATAAGCAAGATGTCCTGCACTATGAAAGCGCAGATGACAAACAAGACGCCTCTCTGAAGCTGATGGCCTCGCCGCTTGACATGCCGATGGCGAATTGTGTCTGTCACGGCTGCTGCAAAGAGTAGGACCCATATTATGACTCTGGGAATCAAGTAGTGAATATCCAGCAACAAGTTCAACATCGTGTGTCTGCAGCGTACAGGATTCCGGGTATATAACGATTTACTGCTCCCTATAATCCCATACGATTCAGACAAAGTAACGTTCTCGACGAGGATTTCATGCGTCTTCCAGGTTTAGTAAGTCCTTCAGAACAACTTCTTGTGACCTTCAATGATGAGGACAGATACTCAACGTACTTTCCTCTGTTCTTCTTCTGCAGATCTAGCAAATATGCATGGATAAATTAGGGAAAAACCTCACAAGAGCGCAAGAACGAGATTTCAAGGTGCGCCAAATTTGGCGTTCAGGTTTCATGCTTACCATGCACAGCACCGAGGTTGAATTCTTTCTGGTCATTGCATTACACCGTTGCGGATGTGCTTCCAAAGAGAAGAGCACTGCTTGAGCAATGTTTCTGCCGCAAGCATGTCCAGATGTTCCTTGAATCGGCGCGCGCACTGCAGCTCTCCCCTCAACACAACAGACGCCAACTCACGAGGACTGAGACCATCACTCCCATTCACAGTTGTCCTACAGAATATCTGGCTCACCAAAGCGTCACCGCGCTCACATCTCTGTACAACACCCGCGCAGAACTGCCGAAGGAACTCCAGAAGGCCTTCAGGGACATCTGAAGCGGTGGGCCGAACCTGCGGAGGCCGCCACTGCTCTACCTTGCGCACAAAGTCGTTCAACTCCTGATCTGGTAACAGAAGCAGTCTGGCAGCTTCCAGCAGCTCCGCCGGGGGCCGCCCACACCAGCCCACCTTGAACCAGCCGTCCGGCGGCACAAGACCCTGCTTCATGAGGAATGCCAGCCTCTCACAGCATACTCCCTCACTGCATCTCTGTTTCCCCGCCTGCCCCTTGTGCGCCTCACAACTCGCCCTGCACCGTGCATGCCTCCCCCCGCATCCTTCCCGATGCCTGTCAGTTTGGCACGTATCAGTCTCCCTGCCGCCAAGTCCAATGTTTCTGATGTCCACTGCCTTGGCGTCACTTCTGGCACTGCCTGGAAGTTGCTGCGGCTCCAATGGGCTGTGTTGGCCCGTGCTATTGCTGCCAGTACGCCAGGCATGGCAGCTGCGGTGCAAGTCCACAAAGGCAACCTCTAGGCAGTCGTGCGGGTTGGGATCCGTCTCAACAAAGCCGTACCGCCGCAGCAGCTCGCTGTTCGGCAGGTCCCCATAGCTGTTGATCACCTGCACATAATGTCAAAGTGAGTGCCAGCAAGATGCATGGACTGCATGTGTCACGCGGCCCATAGGCAAAGTGAACAGCAGAAAGATTCATATAGTGAAAACACAGTAAGCAAGAATGGCTGGTGTACTGGATTGCAATGCAGCCACGGGGGCGCACCTGTTCACCCTTGGTGATGAGGCAGGTGGCGATCATCCGCAGGGCGCCCTTCCGCGCGCAGTGGTGCAGCCGCACATTGGCGTGGCCGGTGATGTGGTTGAGCGCATCCCACATCGGCACCATGGCCTGGAACCTGCAATACATCAGGCACATCTTAACATACTGACAGCACAGTCCGTCCACAGGGCACTCTGCATTCCCAGACCATGAGTTCATGGTGTAAGCTGGCCTTCTTGAATGAGCGATCACCACTTCTCACCTGTCCTCGCCGATGGTGAAGGAGTAAGCTGACACCATGGCTGTTGCCCACACGTACAAGCGGCGTGTGCTGGCCGCATTGTGAGGCAGCTTCAGGTGGGCATTGCTCTGTAGAAATGGTAGCACCACTGAATTGAACTTCTCGTCAACCTGCCACACCCAAAATTCTGCCCTGAACTGGCACCATGACAGGCAACTTATATCGGATCATCAAAAGCTGGTCTCTCTGAGAGGTCCCTGGGGTGGCACCTTGCATGGAGGCTCCAAAGGCCTGTCAGGCATTGCCTTGCAGCCATTCATCTTCTCTATCAATGACGTTCCCTCAAGACTCTGAAGCTGTTCAGAATCCCAGAACAGTGGCATGCCTGGGATGCTCTTTGGTAGGAAGTCCAGATATCCCTTCCACCTGGGTGCCCAGCGTTCTTGATTGCAGGAGCATACATGAAGACCAAGTTGCGAATCTGCAGTCGTAATTAGAGGCAGGCCTTGAGCCAGGCAAATCAGATTTGAAGAGAAGCGCACTTGGATGACTTGCCCAGCTTCTTCTCTGTCATTAAAGCTAGTATCAGGCCAATACTCTCCATCTCAGCATCCCCAGATGCATTGGTCAACCCAGCGTCCTCCAGGGCCTGGAAACAGCCACATCTTCGCCTTGGGGTCCCATGTCTGTAATTGCTTGAAAATTTCGACAACCTGGCCAGATCGTATGAATAGAAGGCTGCACCTCAGAACAGCTGCAGTTTTCGGGCATCAGTACTGACTCATCTGGCACATGGACAACAACTTCTCCGCAAGAGATGTCTTTGGTAGCAACGACACCTCTTCCAGACCCATCGAAAACATCAATGCTACAACACGAGCACTCAATCCCAGCCAGGCGCAGCCAAGCCAAAACTTTCGAGACGTCCATCCTGAATTCTTTACGTCTTGAAGAGAAGGGTCTATAATCAATCAAAAAAATAACTTTCCTCCTTTATTTCAGCCCAAGAATTTGGCCTAACACAACTGCATGTTGAGGCCCAGCTTCCTTTCGACAAGAAGGTGGCCAACGTCAGATTTCCGGAAGAGCTCTCGACAACGCCAATTTCCCACCATGCACAAAGCTACCCAGAGAACGCTGAGATCAAAGTTATAGTCTCATTGATCGAATGCCACACCGAAAATAGTGAGTAATATAGAGGATGTTTTGCACCATTTCAGAGGCATCAATCGTTCAAGCAGACATGTAGAACAAGAGGCGATTTCAGAATACCTTTGACGGATCTAGTAATTCCAGACTAATTATGGATTGGTTTCCAGCACTACCCCATGATAGTACGATGCTCTGCAGCGTTACTCAGAGTGGTCAAGACCCTGGCCCAAACTACATAAGCCCCGGCCAGGTCGCCCTTGGAGCAGCTATTGTCATCGTGAACGCATTTGTATCTGTATGGTTGAAGCTAGACATGCATTGGCAGCTTCTTGTTGGAGTCATAAGGTGAGGGTCCAGACACACTCATGGCCGAACCCACAAGTTCTTGATCGATGAGGTGTCAGCCTATCTGTACATCAGGAGTCTCAGTCCTGGATCAGATTGAAAATGTTTCTGTTTTTTGGCAGATGTGTAGTGCAGCTGACTGTGCTGGGCTACATCCTGGTCCCAATCTTCACGTACAATCTCTGGTGGCTGGTACTCCTGTATGCCTTCTTCATGCTCTTCGTTGGCAGCCTGGAGGCGGTGCAGAGACCTGCGTACACCTACAAGGTGCGCCTGGCTGTCCTCTACGCGCTGTAAAGGAAGCTACCATCCAGGCCCAATGTCTGTCATTGCAAGCAGGAAACATACAATGGGAGGACTACTCTCGGAGCTTGGTTTCAAGACACATTTTCTATAAGTATGCCATTCTTCTGTGCAGGGGATGCTGCTGCAGACGCTGTCATGTGTCGGCACTAGCGCGGGGGTGTTCCTGAGCTACACGCTGCTGTTTGTGGTGCGCACTCATCCGTGGTGGGCGCCCCAGTACTTCATCCCCATCTTGGGCATGATGCTGGGTAACAGCATCTCTGGCGTATCTGTTGGCCTCTCCGCCCTCCTGGAGGACTTCAGCGTCGGTGAGTGCACTGCCATCCCAACTTTATCTATATCGAAGTGGAGTTTTGGGCGATCAGCTGGTTTCAAAATATTATGTCCAGCCTGTGGCCAGGTTGCAAATCTCACCTCCCTTCTAAGCCCCAACCTTCCCAAGCCAACTCCCATGCTAAAGCTTTCTGAAGCGTGCAAGGTATTCCTTGCGAATTCGTCATGTGGGCTATAAATCATAGCCTACAATGTGAGGAGGGGTTAGATTGTTGCAGCCTTTAACTGCAGCTTGTCTGTAGGACGTACCTGCCTTTTGGCAGGAAAAAGCGTGCAATAATAATTTTAAGAATGTGAGTTCTAATTCTTCAATGTGATTGGCCAGGCAAGGACAGGATAGAGCAGCTTCTGGCACTGGGAGCGACGAGATGGGAGGCCACACAGGCGTCCATACAGAGGTGTGTGCGCATGGCGCTGACACCCATTATGAACCAGATGAACGTGGTTGGCATTGTGTCCATCCCAGGCATGATGACTGGCCAGATTCTGTCCGGGTCTGACCCTAGCCAGGTATATCCCCTGCCTTCCTCTGCTGATACTTGGAGATCTCGGCAATGGTGCCATCACTGCTCAACCATCCTCCTTTGGCTTGTTGCCTGTAGTAGCTCCTGGCGATCATCAAGACAAAAGACCGCTGTGCAATATGTTTTAATTCCTGATCTCTGTGGATGGCTTGCCTGTGTCTCCGAAATCGCTTGTCTGGTTGTAGCCACCAAGTGATCTGCAGTGCTGAGGAGGAGCATTTGCACACAGGCCGCACGGTACCAGATGATCATCATGTTCATCATAGCTGCTTCCACTGGAGTGGGGGCTGTCGCCTCGCTGATGTTCACCTCCTTTTATCTGGTGGACATGAGCTCGCGCCTGCGGCTGGATCGCATTCACAAACGAGACAACACCAACAAGTGGAACCACCGCTTGATGCGCAAGATTGCAACGGTGCACCCCTTGCTCTAGCCTGGGTCCAGACCTCTGATTTTATCCTCTACTTGCATCCTGGAGGAACAAAGTTGTGACCATAAGATAGGAGTTGACAGCATGGCTGCTTGTGCAGGTCTTCACACCACTCACAGAGGCAATGCAGGCGTTTGGCAGGTGGCTGCGCAGCACACTTTGCAGCTGCTGTGGGCACAAGAAGAATGTCAGTAGAGAAGTGGAGACAGAACCTCTGCTGCATTCTCCACCTCGACCTTGATTGATGCATTGTAAATTGGCTCGAAGAGCATGCATTTTGCTTTAACTTGGAGGCCAGGTGTCAGCAGATTCCAAGGTTGGAGGAGGGGAGTTGCACTTAGTCATATGTATGGTTGAAAGCACTGAGTTGAGTGAGTGGGGATCAATTTCAATAGGCACCCACCAGACGAGGAATTGTAAACTTTTGTGAATGAGAGCAGCTCGTGTTCTTCAGCTTTTAAGTGTGTGTGTCGAACGCGTGCTGCTGACGACATCGATGCAGTCGAATCTTTGCCTGCAGATTCCTGGCGATCATGTAGTCTCTTTGGCTGGAAATGGAAAAGTTCCATGAACCTGCCGCCTACGGGATTGGTGCTGCTCGTGGGAATTTTCACTCGCACCTCGAGATTGCATGGAATTCTCCTTGACGGGACCCCTCGACGAGGTGCTTTCGTGCAGCTGCACAGGGCCACAGGAAAATGAGCATAGGACACCTCTGTACATCAGGTCAGTCTGCGTTGACCGACAAGTCGCTGGCTTGGGCCGAGCTCGCTGGCTGCATGAACACTGCATGCATGCATTTCAGGTCGGAAACTTCTCTGTTGAACCCTATACTGCATTGCTGGATGCACCTTTTCCTGGGTGTGGAGGCCCTCTTTTATGATCCTAGGAAGGTTCTCAAATGCTGCAGAGGGGTTTTCGAACTTTATAATGCATGCTGTGTCCTGTTGCAGCACAACAGCGGTTGCTGTGGCGGCCTCAGTGACACTGGTCAATGGCGTGGTCTCTCTATGCCTGAGGCTGGACCTCCACTGGCCGCTGGCCATTGCTGCTGTCAGGTTCGAACTTTATCAGACCACGAGAATCTTCATGCAGATTACAGATGCCATGCCGAAAGAGTCGCTCAAAGCATGCATGCGCAATGAGCCTATGGGTGGCCAATGTGGTCATTCAGCATCATGATAACACCTTCAGAAGGATGCAATCTGCTGTCCTTTGCAGGTGTGTGGTGCAGCTGTCATTGCTGGGTTACATTCTGGTGCCCATCTTCAGATACAGGGTGTGGTGGCTGGTGCTGCTGTACGCCACTTTCATGCTCGTCATGGGCACCCTGGAGGCTGTGCAGAGCCCTGCTTACACCTACAAGGTGCCCTTCAGCCGCCCCACATGCTCATATTCACCCTATCTGCTATGTTCACCAGGCTGATACCTTAGTTCTCCTGAAATGAGCATGCGGACTGATGCAGGTAGTAATCTGCGCATTCTGCTGGAAGTGAGATACCAGCAGAAGCTCTGGGATGCTTCATAGAGGCTGAGGATTTTCCGGGGCCCCTCTGAACTCATGCATTTGTGCACTGCTTTGCAGGGTGTATTCCTACAGGCGCTGGTCTGCCTTGGAGGCAGCACGGCGCTCTTCCTGTGCTACATGCTGCTGTTAGTCATCCAGGCGTCGCCCTGGTGGCAGCCGCAGTACTTCATCCCCCTCCTGGGCATCATGATGGGCCACACCATCTCCGGCATCTCTGTCGGCCTCACCGCTCTCCTGGAGGAATTCAACAGCGGTGAGCTCTGATTATGTCCAATCCTCGCCTGTCTGGGCATGTCATGCGCTTCCCAAATTGCCATGCAAACAGAACCAACCCTTCTGGTCTGCAAATTTCAGATACCGTGGTAGCGCTTGATGCAGTGTGCAGAGAGAAAGAGAGACAATCACAGATGCATTGAACTATTTGCCAAGAATGCAAGTAAGGGCCCCGGCTGGCGGGATGCGTTAGAAATACTGAGCACCGTGCCCACGGCTGATTGAGTGTTGCTTGGACCTGGCCAGTCCATCATAGGGTAGGATATGTGGCAGCCTTCACCTGCAGCTTGTCTGCAGGTGCACCTTGCCTCTTTAGCAGGAAAAGCGTCAAGTAAGCGAATGATGAAAGCGCCACTTTTGCAACAAAGAGCAACAGGAGTGCATTGAGCAGGCTGACACCAATATATAAAAAGACTAAATGGTCAACGTCACAGGCATGGCCCCGGCTGACGGGGGGTGTTACAAATACTGAGGAGCGTGCCCACGGTTGGTTGGGTTTTGCTTGAATTCGGCGAGTCCAACAAGGGGTAGGATTGTGGCAGCCTTCACCTGCAGCTGTCTGCACACGCACCTTGCCTCTGGCAGGAAAAGCCTATAATAACAACAACTTGAATAATGCAAGGAGAAACAAAATTTGATGCCTTGGACTGGTAGATATCAAGATGTCACGGGTAATTGTGGCAGGCAAGGAGCGGATAGAGGAGTTGCTGGCGCTGGGGGCGAGCCGGTGGGAGGCGACGCACGCCGCGCGACGGAGGTCCATACGCATGGCGCTCATGCCCACCCTCAACCAGATGAACGTGGTCGGCATCGTCGCCATCCCTGGCATCATGACCGGCCAGATCCTGCAGGGCTCCGACCCCAGCCAGGCAAGGGCTGCCCACACCACGTCACTACAGGCGGCCACAATCAGCACAGTACTCCACGAAACCTGGAAGTACTAGCCCTACCCTTCAATTCCATCCAGGAGAACTCCGCATGTCATGATTGCCAACTTTTGCCATTTTCTGCTGCATTTTGCTGTTCACAAGAACCAGCACATGCTGCAAAGACGGCTGACTGCACCTGGCTTCAACTCAAAATTGTGACGGTGGGACTAGGATCTGCAAACTAAATTGCCTCACTGCATATAAGCAGTTGCAGCCACGCCAGCTGCAGCCAAGATGTTGGAGTCATGCAGTGCTGTTGGCCACAAAATGCATATGCTTGAATTGCGCCAGACTCTGCTGCATTCACCAGACTCTGCTGCATTCACCTGATAATGCTCTGGTGATGTGCCCTCACAGGCGGCACGGTATCAGATGATCATCATCTTCACAGTGGCGGCCAACACAGGCGTCTCGGCGGTCAGTGCCCTGTACCTGGCTACCATCTGCACGGTGGATGACTGCGCGCGGCTGCGACTTGACAAAATTCAGAATCGCAGCCATCGCATCAGCTGGCGCAACAGGCTCTGGCGATCAATTACACGGGTGAATTCCTCTTGTTTGCTTTCAAAGCTGAGACACGCTGCTCCAATTCAGCTATTGTACCGCTCTACTACCCTACCTACCCTACCTATTGACTACCCTAGGCGGTTGCCAAAGGCCGCTGCTATTTATCTTTGAAATGACGCCTGCCTGTGGTGTGATGGTCATGTGTGGGCACAGCAGGGCTTCTGCGCTTCGTGCTTGGATGTTTCAAGTTGAAAGCTGTACTTAAGCGAGCAAATACATGTTCCACAATGACAACTGAGGTTCCAGTTTTGTGTGCGCAGGTATGCAGTTGCTGTTCTCTCAGGAGGCACAAGCATAGGAATGGGCTCAATGGGGATATTGTGGAGGGTCTGCTTAAGCACACGACAACCTTACAGCCCTAACCGGGCGAAGGGTCAACCTGACGTGCTGGCAGCATCAACAAACAAGTTCTCTTTGGGTGCCATTGTACCTTGTGACAGCGTCCTTGCCTGTGTGATGTGACTCACACTCAGGACTCGGAGTCCTGAACGAAGCTTTGAATCAACTTGCTGTATTTGCTTAGACCTCTTGTCTACTGTGCCCGAGGATCATAATTGGGGGCACAATTTATTCGATGCCGCTCAAGCTTTGCTGAGAATTGTGGTGGTAGACATGCTGCAGTATGATGCACATAGGTCATCTTTGTCAGGTGATACTTGCTTCTAATATCTTTGCACTGCTTATACTGCTGGTGTTCCGGAGAACTTTGCGCAGACCCAGGCATCATGCTGATCAAACATGATGTTCTCTTGTCGGGCACTGCTTGGCAATCCCGCGACTAATCCAATGACATCCGATGAGTCTCCGTCGGTTGCTATCCACACCTCAGCAGCAAGACACACTTGTATGGCAGCAAAACCAATGGACCAGTGTCACAAAAGCTATCTGGCAATTTGTTGCATTACATGCAACTTGCCTTGAAGGGAATTACCACCGAGAGCATTGCATGCACATGCTGCCTTGGCCGGCTGCGGCAGAGCAGCCAGAAGATGCCACATGAAATGGTCGTGGTTGCTGGAGACCAGCCTGTACCACGCGCATCTCTCTGACCCGCACATGAAATTAATCTGGCATGCATCAAATTTCCAGCAGCTCCTGCCTACATTGGAGTGGAATCTACCCCTGTTCAGGTACATTACGCCAGAGATTCAGGAGATCTGGACGTGGCCAATGGCATGCGCAGAACGAGTGTGGCCTTGATTTTTTGAACCTCGGACACGGCCATTTCAGTCGTTTGGAACATTGACTTTGCAGCCTTTCGATATCTAACAAGCTAAACTCGGGTCAATCTCATCCTATGAACAGTATGGTGGCTATCGTGCGCACCCAAGCCTCGGTCTTCGGCAACAAGAAGTCGGCCTTTGGCCGGATCCATCCGACCACCATGCGCAGAACCGTCAAGGGGAAGGCCGGATCGGGCCCGAATTTCAAGCTTGACCAGCCTGAAAAGCTCTGGGAGATTGGCAGCAGTTCATGTGCGCCTCTTTTGTCCTCACAACGTTCCCAGTCGTACCCGTCTTTGGCGTCCTGTGCGCTTATTTAACAGATACAGATGTCCCCTGCAGGGTGGCCATTCAACAACTATGAATCTCCCGAGTACTTGGACGGCTCTCTCCGTAAGTTATCGTCCTTGGATGCTTGTTGCAGCTCGTTGGCTTTGTAAGGGTTTAGGGCAATCTTAAAGGCATCGTACAACTTTGCTGAAGTTTTCTTCCGTATGTGACTGCAGCCGGTGACCGTGGATTCGATCCATTTTCTTTGGGAGCGAGCTGGGGATCACCGCCTGGTAGTTTCTCGTCCTTGCTGGATTTGGCTGATCAGTTGCAAAATAGCGATGACCCGAGTTTCATGCTTGTCTTGTCGCGCAGACGGTGCTACCGACTCCCAAAGTCGCCTTGGGTGGCTGGTAAGTGTTGTTGGATTATTTTACTTATGATCGTCTCTGTATTCACCTGTATGTTGAAGCAACATGCGATGCGGCATCCCGCCTCTCGACGCGGCATCCCTCATCTGTGTCCGTTCGAAGAGATACCCTTGAGAAATATATATCTGAGAATGTTTGCTCTGTCTCACAGCTGGAGGGAGAGCTTTACAATGGTCGCTTGGTAAGTTGTTGGCACGCACTACCCCACCTGGATCGCTTTTCCGGTTCACACGTTGCTGAGTGCGATGTGTGCTCATCAGCTCGCAGACCTGCTCATAATACACTTGAATCTTGACTGATTTCTCACAGGCTATGCTGGCGGTTGTGGGCGTCCTGACTGTGGAGTTCTTGGGCAAGGGTCCCTGGTGGACTGCACCTGCTGCTGTAAGTTGCATGTGTCTCTCATCTGGTTTTCTCACAAATTTAGGAAGGGACCAACACCAGTGCAGCTTATAGTGGATTCACCTCCAAACCCACCTCCGGAGGGGTCAGGAGCCTGCAGTACATGCACAACTGATTTTGGCTCGCCTTTAAGGCGCAGCATGATGACTCAACAGCATGACAGACACAGTGAGATTGGAAGCATTCTATGTAAGTGCAAGTGTGCCACACAGGCGGCCATCCCGGTCGGCACCTACGTTGCTGGAGTGGTGACCACACACGTCATCTTTGCCCTGCTGGAGAAGAAGCGCCTGGAGAACTGGCAAGAGAAGGGCGAGGTGAGCTGCTGCCTGCTTCCAAGAGACTCCCCACTGACGTGTTCCTTTCATCCTTGATTAATGTGTTCCACAAGTTGTGCATTGTCAAAGACTTTGCTGCATCATTAGCTTAAGTTTTGGAAAAGGACGCAGTCCTAATTGGTGTTCTTTTTTTATTCTTACAGGCAGGTCACTTTGGGCTGGCGCCTTTTGATCCTGTGGGCCTCACGACCGACTACAACCGCCAAGCTGAGGTGCTGCTTCCATTGCCGACCTTTGCAGGAGTATAAAACGTGCACCGCGCCCTTTCTCATCTATTTCCTGTCATCAGCAGTCACGCCAGCTGTCCAGAAGTCATGTTGTTGCTGAGGAGAAGAATCAGGTACACTGTGGCATCTTTGTATAGCCCTGAAGCAGTGTGAAACCCAAACATCCATTCGAAGAGTAATACAGACACCTAGCTTCCGTTTACGTTTACGGCCCGGGAAGGTAGCCGCTCGCGATCTAGCCGATCGACGCAAATGCAGCTCCTTAATCATTATGGGGGAGCGAGATTTCTCAAGTACACCCCAGGTGACATCAGGGTGTCAGATTCTCATTATCATTTTTTTCCCTGAAGAGTAGTGAGATTTTGCTGCGAGTGAGCTGCATGGGGTCATGTGCGCGCAGGTGCGCAACTGCCGGCTGGCAATGCTGGCGGCACTGGGATTTGCCACGCAGGCATATGTCACCGGCAAGGGCCCCCTCGAGAACGCGGTGGACCACCTGCGCGACCCCTTCGGCCAGAACAGTAAGCCCCCTGTTCTGGCTTGTCTGGTGGTCACATGACAGGGGATTACTAACCCAAAGGCATGATGAGTCATCCAATTAAACCCCCTTTACCCCTGATTTGGCCAAATTTGTGATTGTCTGGCCTTTGGTAACCAGATGACCTCTAGGTGGGGCAATGTATTACATGACATTCATGGCAGGGATGCTTGAAGACAGGAATTTGCTTCTTTATATCGTTCCCCATGCTTGGATCAGCAGCCCTCCCCGTGTATAGTCAGCAACTTGCTCGAAGCTCTCTGGCAATGTGAAAAACGTGTGCCCGTGATCCCAACCCTCTTGGTGCAGCAATAGTGACAAAGTGTCTCACTCATCGTGGGCCTGCTTTCAGTTGCATGCCTCCTTCCAGCTGTTTTCCGAAGAGCGCTGCTAATGCGTAAGGTGCTTTATTGGATGCTTGGGCCACGTGTGTTGAGAGTCTGTGTGCTGTGCATTCGCAGTCTTCACGCAGGGCGAGAAGGGCACTGCAGTGGTGGCCATCTTCCTGGCCTTCTCTGTGGTTCTGCACCTGGCAGAGGGAGCCCGCCAGGCCGCCGCCTCCAAGGGCTACTCTTCTTCCAAGAGGGGCATTGCCTGAAGATGTGCAGCCCTGAACAAGCTGCACATCCCTGAGCAGTATTATATTGAGAGATCCCTGTATATCTTGAATCCCAGCCCGTGAGCTGAGCTGTCACCCATGAATTATTCGAGGCGCACCATTGCAATTAAGTGACACAGCACTTTTAAGTGTATATATGCGCTAGCAATGCGTTCAGTCTTCTTTGTCCAAGCAGTGTATTCGAGGTCTGCCCAGAGCAGAGAGTCCAGTGCCGTGGTACAGTAGGAGGGAAAATTCACAGTCATGATTGTCCCCTGCTTTGGCCCACAGAGAGTCTAGAGGGACTCAATGAGGCCCAAGGCAGACATCTAGCAGTACGCTGAGACTGACGGTGCAGAGAGAGTGCTAATTTGTGATCATGAGAGTAGCAGAATATCTTGAGCCGTCAGCAAGTCGTTTGCAGGCATTTTTTGACATGCATCATCAAATTTCTTGTAGTAATATGGCTGTGGAGAAGAGCATGTGTACATGTCGGCGCCCTGTGGCGAATATGAATCACGAGTGGTATGCATTTGCCTGACTGGAGCAGGATCACCGTGCACAGACATGATGGTGGAAATCATCGTGATGATATCTTATTGCAGCTTTCAGTGCCTGAGTGATGCAGTATTCTGACCTCATGTGTTACACTTTCTTTGTGGGAGTGAGTGTTTCAGGCAACTGCAATGTGTGCTGTAAAATTTTCCACTTTCACAGAACATATGGAAGTGCACGGTTCTAGTACAATTGACATAAAAAGCTGCTGTTTGTCTGCTTGTGCAAGAAACACGTCTCCCATGATCAAGCAAAATGGAGCACAGTCTTTCCTCTGCACAGTGGCTACACATGCCTGCCTGCCTGTAATGAATTGGAACACATTTCTGGATGAAACGATGGCTGGAGACTGGTTGTATACCAGAGTGCACTATTACATCTACAGCAAAGCAGCTGCTAGGACTACACACTAAATCATCAGGAGGCATTGGTCAGCAGATCCCTCTCTTCCATGCTCTTTTTTTGCTGGGCCATGTCATTTGCCATGCCGCCGTAGCCATGCAACCTGCCACAGTAGCACAGGCAATTCAGTTCCCGGCCTCGAAAGCATGTGACTGCAACAGCGCTGGCAGCTCCTACATGTTATATGCACAACTGTTTCTAAATTTTTGCACTGCCAGGTCAGTCTCGCACCTGTTCATGCGCCAGAACTTGCCATCTCCCTGTAGCGTCTTCCCTGCGCAGCAAGAAGAAAGCGACATGTTCAGTATGCAATTTTCTCTTGCTGATCTATGTGCACCATCCATTTTTGCAAATTATAACAACATCTACTCACTCTGCAAATTATAACAACATCCACTCACAACACTGTCCAACGCTGCCCTGTGCAGACATACTAAATGAAATTCATGGAGCGACAAGACAGGCCAAGTTTGGATGGTCCCTGGACGTACCAATATTGGTCCACTCGTTCACAAAATCGCTCCACCACTGGTCCACCTCAGAGATGGCAAAGTAGTTGATATTGAACTGGCTGCTCAGCAGCATGCCTGCACACGACCCATCGCTCAGCCTGCAACACTCAAAATGCCTGCCCAAGCTATCCCTGGAGAGTGAACAAAGAGACTGCCAGTCCCCCTGCTGCCTTCCGCCAAAAGGAAATGGTCAGAAGCGGTGGCGGCATAAATCACTCCAGACTTCTTTATGCCTTTAGCATGCAGATGTGAATTTCGAGGCAGGGAAAGGGATAAGCAATCCAATGCTACCAACAAAGAACATGGATTCAAGAACCTCACTTGGCAGTGAACCCCGTCTGCGAAGATGCAGCTCTGCAGATTGAGGACATTCTCTGGAAAGCAGTAGCGCACCTTCTGTCTGGCGAGGGGTCTTCTTCTTGAGCAGGAACTGAAAGGTCATGACCAGGACCTCCTCGGGGTCCAGGTCAAAGTCCTCGTAGTACTCCTTCCCAACAATCACTCGGTGCGTCGTCTCCCGGTCCTCGAATGTGACGTTCACGTCAAACATGCGGCCGCCGTTCGTCTTGTAATTGTTGCGAATGCGCAGCTCAAACTGCATCGGTATTACATTCCCAAACTTAGATGCAATATGCCTGAGGCAATGCAGGCAGGTGTCAACATCACTGCCCTGTCACCCCCTGTCACCCAAACTGTGCAAGCAGAGGCAGAGTCAGCAGAAAGGCAAGGAACATGCATTGATCACGGCAAAGCAGAATTGCAGGTGGCCATGGGACAGCAGCCTATGCAGACTGCACAAGTCTCCCTGACTCTGTGCGCCAATCCCCAACTCACAGGAGTGACAATGAAGATGAGCCACGGCCCACAAAGGAGGAGTGTGATTGGGTGCGCACAGCTCAGCCTCTTGATGACCCACGCCATACCTAATCAGTGGCAAAGCACAGGAAACACTACTGGGGTGCACCTGTGAAGGCTCGTCGTCGAGCGTGAAGGCGACAGTGCGCGTGGCCTTGGACAGCTGCGCAGCCTGTTCCCTACGCTGTGCCAGCTCCTCTTCTGTCAGCGCTGCCGCCGGCTCAAAGTCCACCTGCGTTGAATCAGCCCATGCCCGCCATTATTCCCCCGCTGCAGACGTCTGCAGTTTTAATCCCTGCTGAAGATCTGTGTTTATGTTTTGCAGCACTGTTGAAAACGTGGACGAGCCTGCTTGAGAGCCACTGAGCAGCCAGATCATGAAGGCATGACTGGATGCGAGCGCTGCATCCTTTGTTTCTTTTGGCTCTTGAGAGGTGGTGAGAAATGACAGTAGAGCAGGAGCTGCCCACCTTGCCCTCCAGAAGGAGATCTGGCTTGGCCACAAACTCTTCTTTGCACCCTCGGGACTTGATCATCACCAGCAGCTCTAGGGCCTGGCTCTTCGCTGCCTGTTACATCAGCACAGAACTATTGACAATGATCACATAAACACCAATGTGGAATGCATGCATATGCGGGCCAGTTCTGAGGACAGGCAAAGAGAACTGCAGCTCTCATGCATCACCGGTACATGTGAAGTTCAGGCCACTGGATCCAGGACAAAAGCCTCTGCAGATTAAGCGCCACTCAGGATCATTTGGAGCTTTACCTCGAGTCTCCCTCTCTCACTGATTGCGCCAGCAGCCACCGGCTCCGACCAAGCTTTCCGCTCCATAGCCACTGCACAGCAGTCACAGTATGGATCAGCGACACTCTCATTCTTCACCGAAACGTCTGCATGTTGCAGCACTGCCGCAGGAGCGCTGTCTTTTGGAAAACAAGCTGGTAACACATGAGCTTCCAGTCTGTGTAAGGAGCACGCACATTTGTTGCCGGTGGGCGCCCCACCAACTTCCTCAAACCAGGCTGTCCTGATTGCAACCATCTCGTTTTGGTCCAGCTGGGGCAGATTCACCGCCCTGCGCATCACGCACATGGAAGCTCAGTCCTTCAGAATTCTCTATATGCGCTCTGCATCAGAAATGCTTGGTCACAGGAGGAGGAGCAGATGGAAGACACAAGGACCTATGCACCATTCCTGGGGGAAGCAAGATCTGTCTTGCAGAACACTGCAAATGAATATTCTCTTCTGGGTGCGCATCTTGCATGGTGCGCATTTCAAAGGAGAGCTAAGCCGCACAGATAGACACAGGGAGACACAAGGGCTCTTGCAGGGCTCACTTGTAGAAGAAGGCCTTGTCAGGCCTGCGACTGAAGACTGTGCGCAGAGAATTCCGCAGGTCCTTTGAGAACCCCACAAATTGCAGCTTTTTGCCTTCGTCAAAAATGGCAAACACGGAGGCAGCGGTACCCGCAGGCACCTCTGGCTCTATCATTCCCTGAAGTCCAGTTAAATTGTCCACCTCAGTCTCGATAACAAGGCTGTCAATGTTCTATTCACAGAAAGAGAACGATCGAGATGCGAGGGCCGCTGTTTCAGGCACCATGACAGGTTGGAAAGGAAGCAAACACCGAAGTGAGGGGATGCGAGAGAGGGACCTGGAGGTTCAGAACGGGCACAAGGTCAAGTTCAGAGAGAGTTGAAGATGCTGCTGGCTCGGCTGACGCTGCAGCACAGGACAACATAGCCCTATTTCTGGCGTGAGCGCCTCTGCAAGATGCTGCGCCGCTCTGAAATAGTACTTGCTCATCGGTCTTCCCTGAGAGCGCTCTGCCTGCATGTCCAAGCAAGCAGGCATTTGAGAGATCCAGCTCAAACACCTTGCATAACCCACACTTACAAGACATCCATGAAATCAATTGGCAACCTCACCCTTGGGAATTTTAAGGGCTGGGATCCGCTTGTGATATTGCCTTCCAGAGTGTTTGAGAGACGCCCTGGGAAGAACCTGGAAATGGCTAGGACCTGCCAGAGTATCTGCCATGATGAACCTGCGCAAGCCAGCATCTGAGCGTCCACCACAGCTACCAACACGGGTTTTGTCTCTCATCCAAGTTCAGAACATCTCATAAATGGGTGAACTCTTCACGAACAGTCTTTAAGAGCTACCGTAGTAAACCGGCAAAGCAATTACAACTTGGATGAGCATGTATTCGCTGACCTGTCTCGCAGTAGTGAGGAACTTACAATTCCGGGACAAATCGCGACACGCTTGAAGTGGAGTGACCAAGTGACGCACTTCCCTTCTGATAGATTGATAAGACGTTGTTCAAATTTCCAATAACGTGCTTTTGATCGTAAATCTATGTGCTTGTAGTAATGCAAGTTTTGATAGTTATATTCAGTGCGATTTAAAAGTGAAGCACTTTCCTGTTCTTTTCACTCCAGTGTTGCGAAGATAAAGTAGCTCGGGATATGCTCTAGATATTACGATCCCTTGGATTTAAAACTCAACAGGGACAAAACCCTGTTATTCTGTGAGTCAAAGGAGCATCTTCTGGGCCATTCCTCAGCGGAATCTTGAGCCATCGATTTACATTTTCCAAACTTCCACTGGTGGTATAGCGAAAGCGGGTTGTCCTGAATCCAGGCAATTCGCACTTGTCAACCTGGCCCCGGGCCAACGTTGAACACCGTGTGCACATTCAAACCCCCAGGGGTGGGTCATTGGGGTGACTCAAGCAGCCTGTCTGAGGCTGCTAGAAAAACCAGAGCTAAGTGCATCTTTGGGCCTCACCATGACCCCACATATAGTTTAATATCCAAGCTCTTCTCAACCTCTGCAGGGCTACGTATCCGATACAGTATTATAGCAATTGCTTACTTGCAAGTACAACCATTACTGCTCTTCATGAACGCCAATCCTGCACACTGAGTCTGGCAATGTTGGTACAATTAACGCCTGACAGTTGACACCTGCAGGCTCAGTCTAGCTGTTATTCTTGCCATCAGACACTTGCTTTTTTTTTCTGGAGGTCCTACATGCATGTATTACGCAGCGACCTTTGCTGCCTTTCGCAGAAGTGTACCAGAGCAGCAGCCTTCCCAAGCGATACCCCTCAAATCTGCCTTTCACACTGACAGGTAAAAATGGCAACTCACACCATGCCTCAAAATCATGAGTTGCGCCGGGGAATCTTTCAAGACTGTCTGGGGACGGACAGGGTGGGAGCAGAAGCTTCATGATAGAATATGAGCCTAGTCCTAACCTAACACACACACATGCACACAGGCGCATTTTCCTAAAACCTAAGTACCACTTACCTCTATTCCTAAGTACTTCCCAAAAACGACGCCTCACTCCTTCATTGACACCTAATAAAACATCCAGCTTCCTAGTAATACAACGCCTACTCCTAACCTTGATGGATGGCATGCAATGGTATGCGACCTTAAAATACACAGATTTAGCGCTGGCAGATTCCTAATTTTTCACCCCTGGAAGACCAAAATGTACCGCTGACCAAAAACGACCAAAATTGCTCCTTACCACAACTATACACAGTTGGCGGATATTGCTGAGATAGCTTCCTGCTAATCAAGAAAAATATCCAGTGGTGAAAGTTCTCCAAAATTGGGGGAGTAATCTGCCAGGTAAAATTGCAGATTCATCCCAAAACTTCCATGTGAGCAGTCCAGAAAATTGCCCAGGCTGCAGAAGCTGGCATCCCCAAAAAATTGCAGCTTGCTGTGGCGTGTTGCAGAAAACCTCAGAGCTTTGACCACAGCCGTCCGCTCGAGAGGGACCTGGCGAGGCGCGCCAGCCGGGGGGTGTTGTGGCGAGTCATTGGCCACCGGGGGCGCGAGAAGGACACCTCCGCATGGCCCCAGTCCGGCAGACCCACCATCTGCAGCCGCCACACAAAACTTCTTTCAAAGCGTTTCCCAGTTGACACACACATCCCTTGCTGCTGTGCGAGCGAAGAAACAGAATGGCTGAGTTCTGTGACTCCCCATACTGATTCCTGCTATGGAAGCTGCAGGACAGATGGTCGACATGTGCAAATAAGAACAGCCGCTCAAACAGACTGGGGGGACTGCGAGGGCATGATGTGTGGCAAAGGGCACACCTGCGCCAGTACCGTGACGGTCTCTGGTGATAGGTCAGCCAGCGGGCACAGGATGCCCAGCTCGCCAGCCGCCCTCAAACCGGGACGTGCCGAGTTGGCCAGGTCATGCGCGTTGGCGCCACAGAAGACCACTGCCTCCGCGCCGTCGCCGAGATCGGCTGCAGCGCTTGCCGCTCCGACCGAGATAGCCGCCAGAGACGCATACACAGCGCGCTCTGACCTCGGAGCCGCCTCGTCGATGAGAGCAAGACTAGCTTTCGGCTGAGGCGCAACCCGTGTGTCCAGCTCCCACAAATCCACACCTGAGATTCGAGCGCGGAGTCAGGAACCCCGACATGTATGCATGAAATTGCATGGGGCAGTGAGCTACACATGGAAAAGGCAGGAAAGAGGGCTCTGGAGGACCTCACCCATTAGATCTGCGGTGTAGCGGGCGCGGTGCAGCCTCTCGCTGGCTACTGAACCGGAGCGGCCGATGCACGCTACAGTGTTCTCGTCAAACACTGACGCCACAATGTGGGCGAGCAGCGCGGAGCCAGTTCCTCCAGACATTGCCACCACTGCATGCAAGCCATATACAAATGTCACAGTCGTAAACCCTAGACTTTGGAGCAAATGATGCGTACAGTTCTTGACGGTCACCACTGGTGTTGTGTGCTGGGATGAAGTCGCACCGTTTAAGCCAGTGCTGGTGCCCTGAGCATACACAGCACGCTGGAGGTAGTCCAGCACAGCTCTGGCGTCATCGCTATCATCCAGCGACCACTGGGCTTCCAGGTCCTCGACATATCTCCTCTGTACACTGGGGGAAACCTCTAGGTCCAGGGTATGTGCGGGGATGGTATGGGCAGACGCCAGCCTGTGCTCTACCTCTGTCAAAAGGACGCTCCTACACCTGCAGACGCAACAACTTTTGAGTTGGAACCAGAGTTGTACGAGTCTGACTTTAAGATGTGACAAAGACTGCAGGTTTTCTCAGGGGGACGACAGTGAACATATGATAAAGCGAAGAATGCAGGCGCGAGGAAAAGAAAAAGATTGCTTCAGTACGCAATTATTGCCCTCCGACTTCCCTTGGCAAAGCTGATTACGTTCATTAGGCAGGGCAACCCTTGGGACCACTCGAAAAGGCACATAATTCCGCCACCATCCTACAAGCGCGGTCTGCTCTCACAGCCTGTGGTACGCAGCAGGACAACGAAAAAAAGTCTTGTGGCTCTTGTGGCCCCCAACACCAAGGCTGATCTCATTTGCACTAGCACACGCGTTCAAAGCCCCAACGTGCAAAACTCACAAGGCCAAATCAGCTCACGCATCATCAACAGAGCCCAGGCCGTACCGCAAGGCATCTCTTGTACGATGGCAGCAGGGAGTGCCGCCAGGAGGCAGAGGCAGGACTCGCTGATGCCTTAATCCGCCAGCTAACGCTGTCGACCCCGCAAAAGCCATTACGCCCGTCCCTGAAGCCTGACTTTTACGACGGCCTCCTTTTGACTGGCTGTACCTCACAGCTTGCCCCGCGGCCCCTTTTCTTCCTTTGGGACGTTCTTCTGATGGTGGTCCGCTGAAGGCGATCTTGGGTGATCTTGTCGCCAGAGTTTCGACAATGTTTTGCCAGTCTATACTGGCGAATACTGGCAGAACGCACGTTCTTGGACATCGATAAAGTTTTCTCTCTTTCCTGATGGTGAACACTTGTTGAGATCGTTTTGATCAGCTGTGGTGGAATGTTCGATTGATCTTCTGCCGAAGATTTGTTTGTTAACGGTGAAAATTTTCTCGGTGGATTTTCAGATCAACAGGCCGAATTATACCGATATGCGGGGCATGAAGATACTTCAGCCTTCCTGTCATCTGCAAACACGGACGACAGCGTTCATAAGTCTTCCTCACCAATGTCATCGACAGGGTGTGAAGGTGACACTCACACAGTCCTGCAGTTGGATTTCTTAAATTTTTTTAGCAGGGCAGGCTCCTCGAATTCAAAATTGTCTCCTAGTGAAATCATGACATGTTTCCCAAACGTACAGGCGCGTGGGAGGCAGTCCATTCCCTCCAGAGCCGAGAAGTCCCCTGGCAGCCAAGAGCAGGCCACTGCTCCCAGCCAAGAACAAGCCCAGGATCCTGAGGACAAACTCTGGGAAGAGATCGAGAGGGAGGACCAGCAGGCCGCAGAGCTCACCAGTGGCAAGACCCCAGTGTTTGATCTCTTTCCACCGCCCCCTCCAAGGCTCACTGCCCAGGAGCAGAAGCAGCGTGCTTACAAGCTCAGCAGGCGGCCCTTGCGAGCAACGCAGCATCTCAGGCGAGCGCAGACGTCCAGGAAACAAAAATCAGGTCAACCGACTGCTACATCACCTGGCAAAAGTGCAAGCAGATAGCATTGCACTGTGGTTACAGTTGAGCACCATGCATGTGTCACCACATTGATATTCATGTGGGCCGCTCAGGGGTTGAAAGGGCATCTGCGGCCGCCGCCCCGGCGCCGTTTGAGGTAAAGCCGGCCGACCTGCGCCCGACGCCACCGCTGCCGCCCATGTGCAACCTGCCTCGCAGTAGCGCAGCTGACAGGGAGGCCGCACAAAAGGTGCTTAGGGACCGGAAACTCGTGCATTATAATCGTCAAAGTGCACCCCTCACAACCTAAATCTGATGTTCATTCCGATTTATCAAGCACATCTGCAGCAGCCTCGAGATGCTGTTGCAAATATTGCCTTACCGCTGAGTACGCGTCAATGAAATTGTTTGTGCTGTGCGGGGCAGAGGATGTCCAGCATGTCGGAGCACTACAAGCCCCTGACGACCGGCGAGGGAATTGGCAGCTATGCCAGAAAGGTTGCAGCCGCAGGGCTCGGTCCCCTGCCCAACCCCCGGCTGGTAGTGGAGTACCACCCCTTGGTGCGCTCCGATAAAACCCTCTTAGCAACAGAATGATTTTCCACTACCAGGCACTCAATACGCGCCTTCTGGCCACCGTGATGATCGCCTGCATCCTTTTGCACTGCCAAGGACTTACGCTCATGAGTATGCGTTGTGCAGGTGTCCAAGGCGCGCATGGACAGGAACGTGGCGGCTGGCTATGACCCAAATGCGGAGTGGGGCAACAACAGCATTCTGGCAGGCGAGGATATGACAGACCTTGACGACAATGAAGAGGAAGAGGAGGAGTTGCAGGGCAGCGGCGCAGAGGGGATGTCAACCAGCAGTGCAGGAAGAGCATACTCAGCAGATAATGCGGATTTGCCTGAAATATCACTTGAAGAAAGCGATGAGGTGTGCTCGCTACCATGCTGCAGGAAAAATATAGGGCAGCTGTTCCCTGATGCTGGAGTGAGCTTCATGCTTGTATGTGATCATGGTTACGTACTGCCAAACAATCAAAAATAGTTGTCTTTTAGAGTCTTTGGCACCATAATCAGATGGCACAATGTATGCCTCAAAGCTCAAGCGCTCGCTGCCCCTTTCTGTGATCTTGTGGGGTCTCACTGCTGACAGGAATGTGGGCCCCCTGTGCAGGTGGACTGGGGCGCGGACTTTGAGGACGAGGAGGATGAGAGTCTGCAGGATGAGTTTGGGCGGGTGCTGGACGAAACCATAGAGCAGCGGTTGGGACAGGACCCTGAAGCCGAAGACACTGAGGTGTGTGCACAGCCAGTCTCTCAGGCAGTCCCAGCTCAACAAGGAGTTGAAGCATTGCAGTGGATGCCCTGTTGCTCAGCCAGGCTGCATGTCCTGCTTTTGTGCTTGGGAGGAAAAGAGCTATAAAGACAAATGGGATAGGATATGGCTCACAGATGCAATTGTGCTGCAGGGATTTGGCGTGTGGGATGGCAGTGATGAGGAGGACAGGGGGACCTCACAACGAAATGGGGTGGAAGATGGGGATGACCTTGACTCACTCATTTTGAATTGGGAGAAGCTGAATGAGGGCAGAAAAGCATGACCTGCTGAGAAATTTGGCTGTAAGATTGTGATGACGAGTGTGCACTACGAAATCATGTGAAGCAAAGTGCACAAATTCTTGGCCCTGTTGGGTTCTTGAACTTGCGCAATGTTGTAAAATCAGCAAGTAAGATCAGAATTATTGAGGGTGCTAATGCTGGTGAGTCGAAGGCCAGCAGAGGGGCGTCCGTGTTGCCAAAGAGCTGTGTGCGGCGCCAGCAGCGAGCTTGGAAGCAACAGAAATGAACGAATTTGTCTTTTGCAGAATGGTGAAATTTGGTTGGCCCATCCTGCGAGTGCTCTTTAACATCAGTCTCCAGATGTCTTGATCACCCCTTGACAGAAGCTTCATCACTGACAGAAGCCTCCCATTGGTTGTGACTCCCTTGTAAACGCCAATAACAAAATCACATACATTTTCCAACCCAATTGTGGCCTGCGGGATGATGTTATTGCTGTACCCATCGCAAGGATTATTCTGCTGAAGGGGTGGATGTCATGCTGAGCACTTCTAATTCTGGATCTGGGAGTTAGGCATTGATAAGCCCAAAGTGGCTCAGAACATTGTGTGACTGACCGACATGTCGACATCTTGCATGCGTCACTGCAGTTGCTCTATGTAAACAGAATTCAAAGCCACAGATGTTCAGCTTCTCATAATTGCAACCTCCACTCACCTCGCTGCATGAAGCATGCACATTCATTCCCATACATGCCCATTCAACCCCAAATATGCTGATCATTATTGACACGAATCCAAAGTGTCTGATCTGTAGCAGACGTATCAATCTAGGCACTGATTCATGGCACAGTAAGAGCACTCTATGTTGTCTCATCGCTCAACCCCTGACGCAGTGAGTCAAATTAGTTTCTAAGGCAGCCTGCCTCAGGCAGGGGATGTGTGAGGAGCTTTCTGACTGCGCTACATTCCCATTCGTTTTATCAACATCCATCATCTTTTACTGATCAAATTGAACAGCAGAAAAGGGCAAGCATGCTCAAGCACTGCCCGGCATCCTACCAGGTACGCTTCTTCTTTGGCTTGTCTGCCAAGACCGCCGCACCATCCTTTTTTCTGCTCTGGAGCTTTTGCTGGGCCTTGGCAAAGTCCTCCTCTGCAAGCTCGACATCCTTCCCTTTCCTCTTTCCTTTTGCACCAGGCTTGCAGTATTTTGCTTCAAGCGCCGCAAATGCATTCTCCATGCGTGCAGCCCCAGTGCCCCTGCAGAACTCTCCTACTTAAGCCTTCATTGCAAGGTTCAAGGTACATCCTTGACCCAGTGCTATCATGCTTGCAGCGGAAACAAGGAAGCAGTGGGCATGAGGCAATTGTCAGCTGACCTGATCTGGGCTATAAGCTGCTGATCATTTTCCTGTGCTTTGCTGCTTTTCTTCTTCTTCACCGCCAATGGATTCTTGGGCCTGGGCTGCTTTGCCACCTTTTCAGACCAGGGCTTGAACCGTGGGAACTGCTTTGCACGGCCCTCCTCAATGGCGGACACAATGATGTCCCTGAATCTGTGAGCGTCCTTTTTCTCGTCCGAGCACATCACCCAGTCAAACACCTGCCAGACCAGCAACGAACTTTTCACAGAAGTTGCCAGTACCCCACCCTGTGGCTGACTCGTATGAGCGTCCAGACAATCAATGTCAAAGGCCGAAGTGGGCCAATGCAAGCCAGCATCTCATCCAGCCATTGACATACCTGGCGCATGTCTCCTTTGAATCTTTCGTAATACTGCAATACCTCGTCACTCTCTTCTTGACTGCCCCTGTATCCAGCTGCGAAGCCATCGATATCATCCTCGGTGACCTCCTTGTAAATGTTCCTGAAGTAGTTGTAGAGGTTGTCAAAGTCCTCTCCAGCCAGCTGCTCTGAGTCATCAAGGCTGCCTGTCTGATCATAAACCTCGCGCCTGCATGCTCAGCAGGTATCAGAAGTGAGCATGAGCATAGAGATAGAACACCACGTGACATGCCCTGAACAATAAGATGCTTCAAAAGCCTTGAGAAGCAAGGAGGATACCTCTCAGGATCGCTCAAGACGGTGTAGATGCGCTGCAATGACTGAAACTTTGAGCCAGCCTCCTGCACACACCTTTGTGTTAAGCCTGTGGTCCAAGAATTCTTCCAACGATCAAGGAGGCGTCTAGCATTGTGCAGGAACACACCTCATCACCAGGATTTTTATCGGGGTGCAGTTTAAGCGCAAGCTTTCGAAAGGCCTTCTTTATGTCCTCCTGTACAGCAGCAAGCCTCTCACAATCAGCTCTCCTTTCAGAGTCTTGGACTTGCGAATTTGTTGCCCCAGCTCCACTGATATTTAAGATTGGCCATGCGTACCTGACTGGCGTCTTTGTCAAGGCCCAATACCTGTAAACACACGTTCCCATCACGTTCTCTTCAATCTTTTGCGCCAGTGAGAATGGCACAAGAACTGGACACGCATGCCACAAACAAGCCCTCCGATGTGAATGGATCTTTTTGAGAATCAGGCAGCACCTCGTAAAGGCATCTTCCCTGCCCTTCCATAGGTCTCGTTCAGAGGTTGCAAATATCAGCCCGTCTCAGACTCCGGCAACCTCTTGGTATATAGCTATGAAGATTCAACGCTCTGAAATAATTCCTAGAACTTCTGCTACATCTGTGGACTGCAATCTTGAGCTGCTGGGTCATTGCCCTCTTTGAGCTGATGGCCCCACGTGCACGTGCCTTCATCTTCAGCCATCTGCAATGTTGCAGAAGCGATAGACAATATTGCGTTGCCATTTCATTGAATGTATGAGACCATGGAAGACTGGCACCTGTCAGGGTATCTGATATTGCGTTTGCTGCGAGATCAGGGTGCCCATGTTGAAGTTGATGACACATTGGAGCTCAACATCAACGAGAAACGATCCTCATTGCAGCGTTGGGATGGGTGCGCATGCTTCAATGGCGTAATTAATGCTAATGGAAGTATCACAGGTCATTGGCAATGTCGAGAACAAGAAACCACAACCTTCTCACGTGTCCTTGAACAGGACAAAACTGTTGGACGGGGAGGATTGTGGCACTTTGAAGAGATCAACCACACTCTTGCAAGCCCTTGGAAAGCTGGTAAGATATGGTGGTTGGGAATTGTCTGTAGCGGACTGACCTCAGGCAAGGTAGGGTATGCATACTCTTTTCTTGCAAAATTCAGGTGGCAAACAGGCAGATTGCTGTCAGAGGCCTTGTGCTTTCCTTGGACGGAGAGAACGTCGTGGCCAGGATTGATGTCCACTTTCACAGCAGGTACATATTTGGTATGTACTTTCCTGGCGCTGAAGTTTTGTCTACTAAATTACCAGGACACATTCCTCACTGCTACATCTTTTTGCAGTGTATGGAACGGACTGCAATCTTGGAAACGCAGCAATGCTGCGGCAACGGTGTTTTCCCGACTTCATCCAGTAACAGAGGCCTGGATAAGCGGCTCTGCACCCGACACAGCTAATGGGTGTGATGAAGCAAAGCTCTGCACCAGAGACAAGCCATTCAGGTGAGCCTCCTGATGACATAATCCACAGCATGAGGCTGCCAGCGTTCAAACTTGCACACATGACTTTGACAGGTGTGGCACCAAGGTTGTGCTGACTTATGCTGCCGGCTCATGTCGCTGCCCTGCACCGCAGCATGGCGTCGTGCTTCTCAGAGCTGCGCAGCCCTTTCAGCGACCCAGTGCTTCCCCATGTGGCCATGCCAGCATATACGGAAGGGTGCGCCATGTCGATATCAGCCTCATCACTGGAAAAATCTGCAGGCCTTTGCAATCATGGGGTCTCGTGACCTCCGCTTCACAGTGTGTGTCGTTCTTCAGGTTGACGGTGGCGCACCTGTCTGCGGACATTCTACAGGATGTCGTGGGACATCTGGACACCACGGACATTTGCGCGCTCAGCTGCACCTGTCGACTCTTCCGCGCCGTCTGCAGCGAAGCAGCGCCCTTCCTGCGCCTGTCGCTGTTCCCCCATCAGGTCTGCACCTTACTCCATACCCTGGGTGTGCCTTTTGCCAGACATGCAGATATTGTGATGAGCAATTTCCTGAGAAACTGTGAAGGACAGTCACGTGGGCAGAAAAGCTATGCGCGCTGTAACAGCAAGGGTTGCTCAGGTATGCCATTGCATGTTCCTACAGAGATGTGCACTTCGATGGATGCTGGAGCGCGAGAAGGAGGCAGGGCTCTTGCCCAACCCCACTTGGAGGCCCTTCCCCACAAAGGACGGCGTTCCACTTTGGGGATGTGCGGCTTCAGGCGGCATCCGAATCGAGGCACCGCCAGATGTGAGGGACCTCAGGGGCGGCTTCTTCTGCGATGAGCCGGTGTGGACCTGTTTTTCCCGCTACATACGACACAGAACCTGCATGCTGTCCCCTCCCGTTGTGTGCAATGAACGCCTTTTTGCATGTGCAGGGGCTGGGAAAGACGATCACTGCGCTCGCCCTGATCCTCAGAACAAAGGGCAGTGTGCCGCAGGCCCCGGTGGATGCAACAGTGACTGCGGCCCGTGACAAAGACGGCAAGCGCACTGCCTTCTACACCATGCCTGCGCATGCCTCAATGGTGAGCCGCAGTTGAACCATGACACCGGCCAGGAAACACTCCTGGCGTGCATTTCCAACTTTTTTGTCCAAAGGGCTAGTGGCGCCTCCCTCAGAAACACTAAGAGTAGAGAGTGGGTAGCACATATTGTACTGTTCCTTCCAGGGGAGGGCTCCCTCTGCTGGAGCAGTGCGACACTCTCGGCACAGTTCAGAGGCCAAAGCCAGACAGGACAGCGTCGCTTCCATGCCATCAGCCACCTCCATCGCCAGCGGGGCTGCAGCTGCCGTCCCCAGCATCACCACAGCCCCTTGTTGCTTGCGCCCTTCTAGCGCCTGCAGCGACAAAGGGAAGCGCAGCTCATCACAAGAGCCTGCAGCAGCTGCTCAGGAGGGCGACAGCAGCTCGGAGATAGAGGCAGGACATAGTAGGAAGCGGCAGAAGGTGTGCGACAGCAGCGCTGGCGGACAGCCTGTGCTGGAGAAATTCCTGTACCAGCACCGGCTGCTGCAGGAAGGGGTGCAGGATGCCGCGGTGGCGGACGAATCGTTCTGGGTGAAGTGCGAGCTCTGCAAGAAGTGGCGAGCCATGCCAATTGGCCACAAGGTGACGCATCTCTCAGCCGACACGGCATCTCAGCATTTGTTTGCTGATGTGCCATGTACCCGTAACGCAGCCTCCTGGACGTCACTGGGAGGATCAATGACATTATTGGGCTCATGGCAGAAACCCGAGGAGAAACGCTGGATATGCACAATGCATCCCGACCCCGAGATTGCATCCTGCGATGTGGAGGAGGAGCAAGCACACGAAGTCACCCGGTACTCAGAGCACGAGGGCTATGTGCAGCCAGGGGAACCCCAGGGGCAGCAGGCCAATGTTGAGTACTTCCAGCGCATGGCAGAGAAGCACCTGGAGGTCTGGCACATTCGCCATGTGCTGCCCTGGCTTGCACACAAACGTCATGACCATGACACCCTGCTGGCAGGCATCAAGGCAAGTCATTTTCTTTCTTACTTCATACATAGAATGCGTGGTTACCAGGTGTGCATGCATTTTATTGGCCTTGTCTGAACCACATGCTCCATCAGACTGGTCCCTACAACATTAATTATGGGGCTAGGGGTGTTGCAGCATGTGCGAAGTGAGCTTGTGTAATTGCTACAGATTCCTCCAAGGACGTGGGGGGAGCCAGAGGTAGCGCAGAATGTGGCCAACATGCTGGAAGAGTTGGGCTTCAAGAAAGAATCGGCCCCTGGCAAGATGCAGAAGGGCAAGCAGAAGGGCAAGCGCAAGGGGAAGAGCAGTTCAGGCGTTCTGTGGCAGCAGCCCTACAGCTTGGAGCTGCTCCACCTGGACAGGGCAGCCCTGAAGATCGTGGCCGACAGAAGCGCCCTGGGCAAGGCACCATCTGTTCCAAATGGTGCGATATACTGTACATGCGATCTCCATTTCTGCGACTAAAAAAGTATTGCCCATATCTCTTCTGCTGCGGCAGTGTATGCGATTGAACAGTTGGTGCTTACCACAGGAGGAAACAGAAAGCAGCATCGCATCTACCTGTCCAGTGCTACCTTGCTGGTGGTCCCCTCAACGCTGATTCAGCATTGGATGGATCAGGTAACCCGGATGCAAAGCTTCTCTAGAAGCAGGCATGTGTGACTTACTTTATTGCACGCCTCTTGCGATCTGAGGTCTTTTTGCAGGTTGAATATCTTTTGTTTCCATTCACAGATCAAAATGCACACTGCGAATGCGGTGAGGGTGAAGGTTCTGGACACCAGGCTGGATGCCGACCCCCTGGCCGCCCTTGACATCGCTTGGAAGTATGACATTGTGATCACGACTTTCCAGCGCCTGAGCTTAGAAGGGTCCCTGGGCAAGCAGTCTGCATTAGCACAGGTGGACCATTGTCAACCTCTGATATGCACTTAGTTCATCATGCTCCCATTGATTGCTGCAGCAGCAGTACTGCGTGTGTACAGTGGTATTTTGTCAGCAAGCCACTGGCAGACCTCAAAGTTTGCCAGCTGAACATTTTCCTGAAAAGAGTTCAGCATGCGTGCAGATACATTGGCTGCGCATCATACTAGACGAGGGCCACATGCTGGGCGCCAGCCTGGGAATGACAAGCAAGCTGCAGATGGCTGTCTCCTTGCGCGCTGAAAGGCGCTGGGTCATGACAGGCACGCTTGCTGTGCTTGCCGACCCATCTGCTTATTTCCAGGACATCTGCTGCGTTCCTTTGATGTTCTGGTCATGTCACATGTCACGTGAGTTGTCCTGCTCGCCTTTTTCATGGAACAGCTTCGGCAGCAGCAGCAGACTGGTGATGGATTTATTCTGTGCTCAGGCACCCCTACGCCCAACACTCCCACATCGCATGTGGCTCACCTGCAGCCCCTGCTCGCATTTTTGGGCCACGAGCCCTATGGCACGCAACGCAAGATTTGGGAGGTGGGTTCATAATCTCAATTTACTGCTGATTGCCAATTGCAACACCCTGTGCAAACGGACAAGCATTCCTTTTTGCATGCAGGACGCTGTGCAACGGCCCTTTGAAGCGCATCAAATAGATGGCCGTGTGCGGTTGGTAGATTTGTTGAGGCACACAACCATCCGTGCATCCAAAGAGGACCTCATCACCATGACCAAGTGCTTCAGAAAGGTGTGCTCATACCTGTTATCCTGTTCCAAGACACTGCTATCATCAAAAGCTGTCAACTAGTGTCTTTGCGTCCCAGTCTTTACTGGGATGACCTGTTTGTGCTGGTGGTGCTGTGGTCAGGCTTCAAGCATTGCATTCATGCCTGCCAGGTCACAGTGCTGGACTTTGCACCAGAGCATGCCCTGAGCTACAACGAGCTGATTGAAGTGGTGAAGAAGAACCTGCTGCTGGGCGACTGGGGTGACGAAGATCACATTGAGAGTCTTCTGTCGCTGCGCAATTCCAAGTGGGGCCAGGAAATGCTTAGAAATGTCAGGTGGGACGATGTCATTATTTTTGGGCTCATGCGTCAAAATTTTTATTTAATTCTGATTTAGCTGTCTCCTGTTACTTCCTGTTCTTTGATCGGAGCTGATATGACCATTGGGTGCACATGGCAGGATGTCGTGCTGCGTGGCGGGCAACTGCAACTTGAGTATCAAGGAGGAAGATCTGAAGGAGACCCTGGAGCTGATGTCGGAGCGATTGGGTCATTTCACGGGTGGGCAGAAAATAAGTGCACCGATTATGGTGACATGCTGAGTGACCATGACAGCTTTTGAGGCTATATCTGCAAGCTTCCTGAAGGATGTTGGATAGCTGGGCCACCGTGTGTCCTATAGTTGTGCCAGATGTCAACTGTTTTGCAGTGATCTGAGCATGTATCATTCCTGTGCTATGCAGTGGATGCGGAAAACCCACCGTGGGTTGACGCGGATCACCCGCTGGCGTACATTGAGGAGGCGCTGCGCAACGGAAGCGCGTGCCAGATCTGCAGCACATTTGCGCGCATGCCCCTTGTCGCCCCCTGCGCCCACCTCCTCTGCGTGGACTGCGCTGCTCCTCACAGGCACGTGCCCGTCTGTGCTGGTCCTGTGCCCCGTTGACAGGGGCCTTCCTAGGACCAAGCTGCCTGTTGGGTGGTCGTTAGTAACTGCTGCTCCACGCAGGACGGAGTGCCCGCTGTGCAAGGAGCCGTACAGGATGCAGAGCGTGGAGGACCCGGATCGCCGCGCCAACAACCCCAACCCCAAGTGGGAGGTGCCCATCGATGTGATCGAGTGGCAGCCCAGCTATACGCAGGAGGTGTGTGCAACCACTTGTCCTCCCCCTGTCTCCGAAAAGAATCTGAAGGAAGCAGTTCCCACCAGCTATGCAAGCTTCATACCGTCCTGAACTGTGTGCATGCATGCAGGGAGCGCTGGGGATCAGCGGCGGCCAATGGAGCGCGACCTGGCAGAACACGAACTCCAGCAAGTGCATGCACCTGCTGCAGAGGCTCGTCAGCATCGGCGCAGCTCCACAGTCGAAGACTTCCAGCGATGGCAGGGTATGTGTCGAGGAACTCAGGATGTCCACTGCGGTCTGTGTCATGAGTGCAGTAAGGGTGATGTCTGCGATGTGGTTGTCATGCAGGTGGGCGTGTCACCTGAACACGGCCCTCGGACGAAGGCGATTGTGTTCACCCAGTTTTGGCACCACCTATTTCTCATCGAGCAGCAGCTGACAGAGCACGGCATTGGAGTGGCAGTGCTCAAGGGCAAAATGAAACCGGATGAGAAGGCCCGCGCTCTCAACCATTTCAAGGTTGGCATGCAACCTCCCTCCTTTATAGTCCTCTTCTGCTACAAGAAACTGTTCTTGTAGCAAACTAACGCAAGAAGAAGTAAAACTGTAAACAAGCTGTGGATGTCTGCAGTCGTGGGATGGTGTCACTGTGCTGCTGATGGACGAGACGGGCTCGGTGGGACTGGACCTGTCTTTTGTGTCCTACGTGTTCCTCATGGAGCCCCTTGTAGATGCCAGCCTGGAGCAGCAGGTCGTGGCCAGGGCACATAGGATGGGTGCAAAGGCAATCGTGCAAGTGGAGACACTGGTGATGAGGGTGAGCCTTCGTGATTCCTGCTGCAACAGTTGGACACTGCAAAGCTGAAAGAGGTAAAGTTGCAGCTGTGACACTATTGGGCAACTGGTGTGCTTCAGGGAACTGTGGAGGAGAAGGTAATTGAGCTGGCGCAGACTGGGGCGAAGGCTGCTGTGGACAGCGAGGACCAAGAAGCAGCCACTGAGAGACAAGCTGGCGGCACTGCGGCCAGTACCAGCTTGGCACAGCGGGCTACTGAACTCTTTCAGCTGAGAAATAAGATGTTGAGGTCTCTGCATTGCGTGAGTGTCGCAAAGAAGAAAAGCGAATGATGGTTATCCCACTCTGTAGTGAGGGTGAACTCTAGGATACGTGCTAATGGAAGTGATTGAAAAATCATAGAACCCAGTTCCTGCTAATTAAAACTTTCAGGAGTGCCTAATAGGTGCACGATTGCGAACGTCTGGGAGACGGAATATTTATGCTGTTCTTTTGTAAGCTCGGTTGTGATGACTACTCTAACATAGGAATGATTACAGGCATTCAGGAATCTTCATATCCATGTATTTGCTCCAAACTGGAATCAAAAGCTTACCCCCACTCATACCGATTGTATGGTTGTAGTGCCCATGTACTCGGTTACGCTCATGATTGTCATGCAAAGTATCTGGCAGCATTGTGCTGCCACTCCAAAGAGACTTGCAAAAAGCGCTCACACCTCTCAGACTTAACAGCCAGACATCTAGGCATACCTAGTCGCAATCCATGCTCAAAACCCGTAGCCCGCACCTCGACAATCACGTCTTCCGCAGCAACGCCACGAAAAGGTTCCGCATCCTGCATACTGAGATAGCTGTACACGATCGTGTGTACTTATTCGACCGTCTACTTAGGGCATAGCAGCAGTCGGCTTTGGGCCTGGAGCGCAGCGCTGGGTGCACCTCTTGCACTCCGGCACGACAGCGCGCGTCGCCTTCAACGGCTAGCACACCGATGCTTTTCCAGTGGACTCAGGCGTCTTCCAGTGCAGCCCGCTGTCGCCGCTCCTCTTCGTGCTCGCGGCGCAGCCAATGGCAGTACATGCCAGGCTCCTCGCGCAGCAGCAGGTCTTCCAGCCCATCAGGCTTCCTTCCGGGCAGCCAGCACCAGTCATGCACCAGCATGCCGACGACATGATAGTGCACGTGAGCAGCCCCAGCAACTAGGGGTAATCACTATACTGTATAGTAATTACCCCTACCAACGACGCCCAGAAAGTTCTGGACTCCAGCGTGGGCCTGCACTGCGCAGCCACGGGTGCGAGGTTGCAGCGGAGCAAGAGTCAGGCGCTGGGCCTTGGCAGCTTCAGCCACTTGACCGGGCCAGATCCGGTCACAGGGGTTACCTTCGCGGCTCCATGCGGCAGCGTCAAGCACCTGGGCATTCCTCTGTTCAACCAGCCAGCAGCTGCGGCCACAACCCTCCACACAGCCATCACCACGAAGGGCCACGAAGGTGGTGGCCCGCATTGCGTGCTGGTCCGGATTCCGCCTTAGCATGTTGGGCCGGGGCGTACGTCGCCAAGCAGGTGCTGGCGTCCAAGGTCACCTACCATGCCACCTTCGTGCCAGTGCCGCGGGAGCTGCTGGAGTGGGCTTTGCAGAGCCATCCACACGTGGCGAACAGGCCAGTGGCAGGCAGCGCAGCATCACTCTTCCCAGGGAGGGCCACCTGCTTCCGCGCGGGAAATGACGGCGGCATTGGGCTAGTGAACCTCAGCGCCTAGATCTTGGAACAGAGAGAAGGCCTCTCGCCTCTCGGTCGGCCCAGCCAAAGCTGTAGAGACAGCAACGACAGCCTACAGCCTCCAGTGAGAGGCCTCCCGAGGGGTTGTCAGGACCCTTAGTAGGGGGCTGTCAGAGTCAGCGTCAGAGTTCCCGAAGAGAGCCCCAACGCCCCTGCTGCTGCCGCTGCCGCCGCCGCTGCCGCGCCGCTGCCGCTTCCGCCCGGGGACCCGTGCCGCTGCCGCCTCTTGTCGCCGGCTGGCCATGCAGACCAGCAGGCTATGGCAGTCAGATCCCCAGCGGGCCCTCGATGCCCACGCGCTGCGCACAAACCGGCCAAGGCCTCTCCGGCCACGGCCGCGCCGCTGGGGCGACAGTGAGCCAGACTTATCATTGTGCTGCACTGAGTTCAGCCATTCATGCATGCCAGCCAGATGACAGAATTAGGGGTCAGCTTTGACCCTCAGTTGACTTCTGGTGGCTGACCTGGGCCACCTGGAGCTCACAGAGGAGGTGCCTTACGGCAGCCCGCGGCGCTTGGATCTTGAGGCGCAGGTCACCAGAGCCTTGATGGCTCACTTTGGACCGGTGCAGATCACCGGCATCAACCCCGTGGGGTCGTCCGGCGCGGCAGACAGCCGGCTGGAGCTCTGGTTCGACACGGTCCCAGAGGCCGCTGCGGCGCGGCATGCAGCAGCTGAGGATCAGCTGGTCAGGTTGCGAGCCTTGCCCGGTGGGGGGGATGTCACGGTGCCGGTGCAGCTGACGGCGGGCCGCTGTTACTACCAGCACTCCTGCATCATCATGCACAGGCTGCTGTACGAGTACTGCACAGAGAGCCTCACGCAGACTCTCCTCGAGTGCGCCGGCTGCCCTAGCGACACGTACGTCGTTCGCGGCAAATTCGTGGGCGGAGACCTCACCTCCGGCGGCCCTCTGTTGGGCAGTGGTAAGGCCTGCCTGGCCTATATCCAGACGCCGAACGATGACAGGCACCTCGCCCGCTTGCCAAAGCGGTCCTTCATCGACGGCGACACCCGGATCAACATCACTCGGCCGGAGTGGATGCGGCAGCCCAGCCAGCCAGCTTCTTCCCAGGCTCAGCAGCGGCAACAGCTGCCCGCAGCCCCACCGCCGCTCCGCCCTTGCCCGATTCGCCAACGCCAGCACCAGCGCTCCACACAGGCCCGCGCGCGCGCGGCACATCCGGCGCAGCCTGCACCTAGCCCGCAGCTGCGGCAGCTCGAGGCCCGTGTACAGGCCAGCCGCGCTCCCGGAGACGATCGCGCAGGCCTGGGTGCCACAGCAGCCAGCAGGCCGCAGCGGCCCGGCGCGTGGTTCATGCGTGCTCGCGACACACAGCCGGCCTCTCCGATGGACTGCCCTTCTCCCCGAGGTGCAGAAATCTTTCCAGCAGTGAGCCTGACACAGGCAGACATGGACATCGATGCGCAGACCGCACCGCCCCGCAGCCCCGCAGCGACACCCATGGGGTGGGAGACGCCTGCAAGCACGTCGCAGCAACCTGCCACTCGTCGCCGGGTTGCAGAGGACTCCGCGGTGGCACCAGCGCGCTTTGCATTCGCTAAGGTCTGTAACAATTCCAAGGCTCATTTCTGCCTTTCAATCGCTACTATGGCGGACAACCTTGCTCCATTCGATTTGTCTTGTCTCATTCACTGTCTTTACAGGATGGTCCAGCGTGTTGACGTCATGGCCACCTGTCAGTCCAGATGTCACGCCCCTGCTGCGTCGCAGCCTGCTGGGCGCCTGGTCGTCACCCTGACGTGCAGAGGCTTCTTGGCGCCTTGCCAGTGGCTCTGGGGTCCTCCAAGTCGGCTAGTACGATGCGCCGCTACGCCCCTCTTTGGAAGCGCTTCGTTGCTTGGTGAAAGGAACGTAAGCTCCCGTGCTTGCCCTCCCTGCCGGTGGTCGTCGCTCCAGATCACACAGACTGGGCGATCGTACTCGACGATCAAGTGTGTCTCCGCACCGATTGCGGCGTTTCACGCCTTTGCCAACTGTGCGGCTATCACGGATAAGGCACTGGCCTCCTCGGTTCGGGGCTACCCACGGCGGGATTTCCCTTCTGGGGAGAACAGGAAAGTGCCTATCACGTGGGAGCAGGCCTTGCGGGCAGTGCACTTCTTGGGTCGCAAGCCAGGCTTGCGCAATCTGTTGCTCGCTGCTGCTGTCAGTCTGGCTATCTGCGGGTTCTTCAGATATGACGACCTGGCACACATTCGTGTGAATTATCTCAAGTGGTGAGATTCGCTTTTGGACATCGTGATCCCACCTAGGAAGAATGATCAGTTCAGGCAGTGCAGCCTAATTGTTGCCACCCAGCTCGATGGCTCGTATGCTTGCCCAGTGCAACTGGTCAAGGTCCTGGTGGCTGGCACTGCGAGGCCTCTCTTTTCGGCAATGCGGGGGTGTCGCTTCCTATAGCACCACTTCTTTTTTTTTTTTTTTTTTTTTTTTTTTTTTTTTTTTTTAAAAGGGGAAGCCCCCGCTATTACACAGGTGCCAGTCGCACGCTTCCCAGCACGCATGCAATAGGATATTTGGGGAAACCTGTCAGAGTTGGGGCACGCAGAGCACTCCCGCAGGAGGATAATGCGATACTTAAGAGAAGCGCAAGCATGAAGGCATACCACAGAAAGGCAACAGAAAGGCTCCTAGCGATGGACATGTCCCAAGCACCAGAGGGTAACCTCATCCCCAGAGGCGCACTCCAGCCCGCCGGCAACGCAACACCGCTGAGGTGACGTTGGAGGACCCACGGGGCAAGCCTAGGGCTTGCAGCTGGAGGCAGGGGTCACAGCAAAGCAGGCAATCATCAATCACTGGCAGGCAATTATGGATGTGCGGGCAACCAGTGGTGGAACAGACATGAAAGGCACGTTTATACGGTTGGCCGACAGGGATGGAACAGGATCGCGTTCGGACCCATTACCACTAGGTGCCGCTCGGGGCTGGCAATGTGACCCTAAACTATGCCTCAATCTGCCAGCAAGGTGGGGCACAAGCAAACGGTGGCATATGGGAGATTTTTTTTTTTTTTTTTTTTTTTTTTAAAAGGGGAAGCCCCCGCTATTACACAGGTGCCAGTCGCACGCTTCCCAGCACGCATGCAATAGGATATTTGGGGAAACCTGTCAGAGTTGGGGCACGCAGAGCACTCCCGCAGGAGGATAATGCGATACTGAAGAGAAGCGCAAGCATGAAGGCATACCACAGAAAGGCAACAGAAAGGCTCCTAGCGATGGACATGTCCCAAGCACCAGAGGGTAACCTCATCCCCAGAGGCGCACTCCAGCCCGCCGGCAACGCAACACCGCTGAGGTGACGTTGGAGGACCCACGGGGCAAGCCTAGGGCTTGCAGCTGGAGGCAGGGGTCACAGCAAAGCAGGCAATCATCAATCACTGGCAGGCAATTATGGATGTGCGGGCAACCAGTGGTGGAACAGACATGAAAGGCACGTTTATACGGTTGGCCGACAGGGATGGAACAGGATCGCGTTCGGACCCATTACCACTAGGTGCCGCTCGGGGCTGGCAATGTGACCCTAAACTATGCCTCAATCTGCCAGCAAGGTGGGGCACAAGCAAACGGTGGCATATGGGAGATATGAAGCCGCAAATGAGGCGAAAAACAGGTAGGCTGGTGAGAACTCGACCAGATACACACACCCACCACATTGGAGGCGGGGATAGGCAGGAGGCATCATGTCCAAGGTCCTAGAC